AGAACAGGCATAAAATCAAGAAAGAATGTGGTGTTTGAGGAAGTGAGGATTTTTTTTTTTTTAAAGATTTTATTTATTTATTTGACACAGAAAGAGTGAGCACAGGCAGGGGCAGTGGCAGACAGAGAGAGATGGAGAAGCAGGTTCCCTGCAGAGCAGGGGATATGGGACTTGATTCTAGGACCCTGGGATCATGACCTGAGTTGTAGGCAGTCACTCAACCAACTGAGCCACTCAGGTGCCAAGTGAAGACAGTTTTATCAGTTTTCAAAGAAATGTGCAATTAAAGCTTTAGGCCCCCATATAGCTTAAGTTTTAGGGATGGTAACATCTGAGTGTGGTGAAATAGTTACAGTCAAACATTGTAATTACATTTTAAATTAGCATAAATCTTTTGGAAAGTAGTATCAGAAATGAATTCAACAACAAAAGTATTTATAGCCTTTAAAATTTGTTGCAAGGAAATGCCACAGAATAAAAAAGCTAGTCAGTCTGTGTTTGCCTTGTATATATCAGGAGCTGTGCATGGTGCTGGGAATTTCTAAGGTGAAAAAGTTTTGCTGTTTTCTTGAACTTCTAGATTTGTGGCAACAGAGTATGAGACAAATACCTAATCAAATAACTGTAATGTGTTGAGTTGTAATTGGGGTGTGTTTTATTTTTTATTTTTTTTATCATTTTTTAAAATTTATTTTCAGCATAACATTATTCATTGTTTTTGTTTTTGTTTTTTTTAAGATTTTATTTATTTATTTGACAGAGAGATCACAAGTAGACGGAGAGGCAGGCAGAGAGAGAGAGAGAGGGAAGCAGGCTCCCTGCTGAGCAGAGAGCCCGATGCGGGACTCGATCCCAGGACCCTGAGATCATGACCCGAGCCGAAGGCAGCGGCTTAACCCACTGAGCCACCCAGGCGCCCCTATTCATTGTTTTTGTACCACACCCAGTGCTCCATGCAGTCCGTGCCCTCTCTAATACCCACCACCTGGTTCTCCCAACCTCCCACCCCGCCACCTCTTCAAACCCTTCAGATTGTTTTTCAGAGTCCATAGTCTCTCATTATTCACCTCCCCTTCCAATTTCTGGGGTGTGTTTTAAATTTGAGGGAGGGCATAATGAACATACCAGGGAATACAAAGTAAACACACCAGGAAAGTCATTCTCCAGGATTAGGGGAGAGACATTTAAGCTGCATTTTGAAGGGTAACTAGGACTTACTCAGATAGATAAAATGAGACTGGATGTTTTAGGCAAAAGGAATAGCATGGACATGCATCTGAAAGCACATACAGAAACATATTCATTTGACAATAAAAAGCACTTACATGTCCTAGGATTTGGGCATGTATGATGAAGAAGACAAGTATAATCTCTGTACCATAGATCTTTCAGTCTAGATATTAAAATTGTTATGAGGTTGGCACTCAGAGATTTCAAACTGGTGGTTCTCTTGGGCCAGATTTGAGTTGAAGGTGTGTTTTGTTTGGCATACCCAGTGGCTTTTCTCTCTCCCTTTTCCTTCCTCCCCTTTCTCTGCAAATAAGTTGCTGATACTTAAAAATGAGATTTCATACCCGAATGAGCATTGAAGATCTGGCAGCAGTGGGCTAGTGTTTTTATATGCTGCTTCCACGGGAAGTAAACAGTGGCTGCCTACTTGAGATGGCTGTGCACTTGTGGTCCTCAGTACTTTTCTTTAAACCTGACACATTTTATTCATTTATATAATTTGCCAGGCTCCTATATGCCTTTGAGTTGTGAGCCTTGGATGAGTCATTTACTTCTGTCCTTGCCCTTCTAAATTTTCTTTGACATATTTTAGTAGGAGAAATACAGAAAAATGCACATTGTGTTTTAGAAAAATAACTGTTCAACTGAAAGAGGAATCAACATAAAGAATATGGAATTCAAATATCAGCCAACAGATTTAGACTCTATTTTTTATCTATCTAATTCCTGTTTCCTTAATCATGTGCTTTGAGTTTGGTAATAATACATGTGACATTACACTAAGAAAACAAACTTCTGGGCTTTCAGAGGGCTTTGTTTTATCTGTAAGAACCATATAAAAGAATCTGGAATAAACACTGAAAGAATGTGTAAAAAAAGCTCCTTTTAAGGTAATCATTTTAGTATCCAAACTATAAACACTAAACATTTTAGTACTCAGTCTATAGCTTCCTTTTCATTTTCTTTTATTTTGTTAAAGATTTTAGTTATTTATTTGACAGAGAGAGCGAGCACAGGTAGGCAGAGTGGCAGGCAGAGGGAGAGGGAGAAGCAGGCTCTCCACCGAGCAGGGAGCCCAATTTGGGGCTTGATCCCAGGACTATGGGATCACGACCTAAGCCAAAGGCAGATGCTTAATGGACTGAGCCACCCAGGTGCCCCTCCTTTTTATTTTTAAAGTAGGCTCCATACCCAGCCTGGGGCTTGAACTCATGACCCTGAGATCAAAGAGTTATATGTTCTGTCAACTGAGCCAGCTAGGTGCCCTTTTAGTTGCTTTTTACTGAACATTATGTGCTAGGCACTTCATGTAGATTTTCTTCTTTGAGCTCTGTATATACCTTTTAATCCAGATTCAGAGAGTTTAACTTAATTTGTCCAACTACTTAGTGTGAGAGCTAAGATTCTAATCTAGATCTCTGACTCCCAACTCCCCCCACCACCCCAGGCAGGTGATCTTGGGTTATTCCTTCAACATGTATTTACTGAATGTGGGCAAATGCTTACTATTCCAAGGTATAAGAAAACTGCTTCTTTGCATTGGGCTTATAATTAGTTGAAGAGAGGCATTTATGTAAAATAGGTAACCGTAGAGGAGAACATGAATTACATACCAAGTGATTGATAGAAATGCCAAGGTGGCTCAAAACTACAACAGCATCAGGGAGAATAGGAAGGAGGAGACTGCTCGGAATGACTAAGGTAGAAAATCATGTAAGTCTGTGAGAGGATGTGAGGATAATGAATGAGAGAGGTAGGTCAGAGATGATTTACCACGCTGTCCAGTGCTGGGTAGTTGAGTAGAATTAATGCTTCATGAGCAGAGGTTATCAGAAGAGGAACAGGCTTTGGTAGAGACTGATGAGTTAGTTTTTGTTTGGTTGGTTGGTTTTGTGTTTTTGTAAGCTCAGCGGCCATTGTGGGACTTGAACTCACAACCCTGAAATCAAGAGTGGCTTGCTCTAGCAAATAAGCCAGCCAGGCACCTTGGTGGGGGATAGATTTTTAATGATTCAAGTAAATAGCAAAAGAAATTAAAATAATAAGCATGGAATACAATATCATCACCAAACAAATAAAAAACAGTTCAGCATAAGGTGTAGTCTCCACTCCAGGTTTATCGCATTTATTCTTAGGCTGATGGCCTTTTCTTATTCCATGTGAGATCTTAAGGTTAGATAAGTTACTTTAGTTTTGTGCATATTGAATGGATTCTTCATTAATACAATTTTCTGTATTTTGATTTCTTTTGAAAATAATTTACCTCACTGCTTTTACAAGTAAAATCTTTTGAGGAATTCAGTGGTCTCTTATTTTAATGATAACTTTATTAAGATATAATTCATGTACTCTAAAATTCACTCTTTTAAAATGTATAATTCAGTGGTTTTCACTATAGTGGCAGAGTTGTGCAGCCATCACCACTATCTATTTTAGAACATTTCATTATCCCCAAAAGAACCTCCATACCCATTAGCAGTCATTTCTTGTTTCCCTTTCCCCTAGCCTCTGGCAACCACTGATCTACTTTTTTCTGTATGCATTTGCCTATAATGATAATTCATATAAATGGGATGGCTTTTTTTTTTCCCCATAAGATTTTATTTATTTATTAGAGAGAGAGACAAAGATGGAGCATGGTCATGGGGGAGGAGGCAGAGGGAGAGGGAGAAGCAGACTTCCCCCTGAGCAGGGAGTCTGACACAGGGCTCAATCCCAGGACCCTGAGATCATGACCTGAGCCATAGGCAGATGCTGAACTGACTGAGCCACCCAGGCACCCCATTGTAATGTACTGGCTTTATTCACTTAGCATGTTTTCCAGGTTCATTCATGTTATACCATGTATCAGTACTTCATTCTTTTTTATGACTGAATAATACTCCATTGTATAGATATACTCATTTATGTAGTCATCAGTAAATGGACATTTGTACTGCACTTTTGGGCTATTATGAATGATACTGCCATGTACATTTACATATACTTTTTTGTGTGGACATAGGATTTCGGTAATCCTGGGTAGAATTGCCAAGAGTGGAATTCCTGGGTTATATAGTAACTCTGTTTAACATTTCGAGGAATTTTCAGACTACTTTTCAAAGTGACAATACTATTTTGGAGTCCCACAAGCAGTGGATGTTGGCTCCATTTCTCCACTTCCTCACCAATGCTTATTATTGTCTACTCTTTTGATTTATTTAATGTAGTGAATGTAAAGTAGTATCTCCTTGTGGTTTTGATTTCCCTAATGAGTAATGATGTTTGAGTGTCTTTCATAGCTTATTGGCTGTTCTTTGGAGAAATGGGTATTAAGTCCTTTGTCCATTTAAAAATTTGTATTCATCTTTTTATTGTTGTCAGTGGTCTCTTTAAAAAGATGGGTGTTTTTAAACTTATAAACGGCATTTTGTAACAGGTGATGGTAAATTTTTCATGTGAATTAGTGGTAGACTTTTAGGTTTAAGTAGTTGTTAAGTTCTGGTCTTCATTAGCATTCATTTTAAAAAGTCTTTTTAAGATTTAACTTTAGGGTGACTGGTTCAGTCCACAAGACCTGACTGAGCATGCTTATATAATAAGAAGATTTAGATTTAATATTTTTTGGAATGTCAAAAACAGCACCATTTTAATTTATTTAAAACTCTAAGCACCAAATTTAAATTATGTGTGTTGACTCTTTGACTTAACTGGAGCATTTCCATCTTTTCCCAAGTAATTGAATCTACTTTGTGAAATGTGTTTTAATGTCTATGTCTCATTTTTTTTAGGTTATCCCGAATACCACATGCTTAATAATTTTCCTTGCAACGTTAGCCATTGTTTTTCACTGCCTCCAAAAGATCAAAATTTCTCCGGAAATTGGAGACATATTTGATTTAAAAGAAATAACTTTAACAAATGGACAATATGTCTATTACAAATACACCGACAAGTAACGATGCCTGTCTGAGCATTGTCCATAGTTTGATGTGCCATAGACAAGGCGGAGAGAGTGAAACATTTGCAAAAAGAGCAATTGAAAGTTTGGTAAAGAAGCTGAAAGAGAAAAAAGATGAATTGGATTCTTTAATAACAGCTATAACTACAAATGGAGCTCATCCTAGCAAATGTGTTACCATACAGAGGACATTGGATGGGAGGCTTCAGGTTAGTCTTGTCTGAGAGTTTTTCTGTGTCTTTTGTAGTGGCAGATTAAAAAATTCTTGCTTCCTCTTAATTGCTATTAGATAACGTAATGTCTGCGCCGTCTCTTCAGATACTGTACATCCTGCAGCGGTGTGTGTTACGGGAATCTATGAAGAATATATTCTTCATATAACAAAGATATATCATAAAAGATTTTTTAATGTTCTAAGAAAAAAATTCAATGTAGAAAATTTGGAAAATTAAAAAGCAGAAGAAACCCCATACCTTTAGCACTTTGGTATTCATCTTTGTAGCTTTTTTCCTTCTTTTTTTGAAATTTTATGTACATTTTAAAAACTGAGTTATAATTGGCCCTTTTATAATTTGGACGTCTGATATTGTATGCTTGGTACTTGTGTATGAAAAAGAACTCAAGCACATTTTGAAAACTCGGAGTTAAAAGCTTGTATTTTATAAAATTTTTAATCTTTTCGTTTTTATGGATTACATTTTTTTAATAGAATTACATCATGTGTGTCCTGTGCTGAATATTTTTAAAGAAACATATAGAAATATTATGTCATTAGATTTAAAAATTTTATTTCTAGATTTTAGGAATGGTTATTCAACAAACTCAATACTTTTTTTTGCATTTTAAAAGCCTGAGCATGGATCTTAAAAAAATACCTTAGTTCATTAATGTTTCTCATTTATGAAATGGGGATTATAATACTGAGTTTGTAGGGTTGTAAGAATTAAATTGAGAACATATATAAAGTGCCTTATTTAATGTGTAATGTGTAACTGATGATCAATAAGTTGTTGTCTATCTTTCCTAGGTGGCAGGTCGGAAGGGATTTCCTCATGTGATCTATGCCCGTCTCTGGAGGTGGCCTGATCTTCACAAAAATGAACTCAAACATGTTAAATATTGTCAGTATGCGTTTGACTTAAAATGTGATAGTGTCTGTGTGAATCCATATCACTACGAACGAGTTGTATCACCTGGAATTGGTGAGTAGGCTTTGCTTTTATCCTCAGATGCACAAAAGGAAAAGATCTCAGTAGTGTTTTAATTTTTCTACATTAAATTATAAATTTGGGTATAGCTCAGGACTTCAACTAAGGTTAAAGAATCAGATATTTTTAATGACATATAAATATTTAAATTTGAACTTTAAAGTAGACTTGTATTTTTCTTTATTACTATGTATTCATTATAGTTCATAGTCTGCCCATTTAGAACCATGTTTTTGAAAAGTAAGGTGGAAGACATTATTGAATTGTTTATATACTATCAGATAGCATTTATACTATTCTTCTTGAATTGAAATGGTTCATGAAGTTTTGAATCTCTGAATTAAATTTACATTTTGTAATTTTAAATACAATGGAAATATTTTCATGGTAATGATTAATATTTCATTTTCTTTTCCTCTTTAAAAAAATTAAGATCTCTCAGGATTAACACTGCAAAGTAATGGTAGGTAATCTGTTTCTTGTAACTTTCTCTGTTTTCTTTTATTCTGTCCCCTCTGTTTTTTATTGTCCTAAAATTAGTTTGTGTGGGTGCTGGTAACATAAAACTTATAAGAAAAATACTTATTTGTTTGGAAATGTAAATTTTGGGGGAGCATGCGTCAGTACTTAAAATTGGATTTCAATAGGCTGGTGGTTCTTTGGATTTGAACTACCATTTATGTACTCAAGTGTTCTAAAAAATATGATACGGGAATATAAAACATATAAGAGAAGAGTTTTTTTTGAATTGGTAAAAAACTGGCTGTTTTGGAAGAAAATCTCAGAGAGCCAGTTTAAATGGGTATAAATACCTGTAATGTTCAGTAATTTGGAGTCATGTATAGCATGTCCTTTAGAAATACTAATATCCTAATTTTTCTTTGTTTCTCCCAAATTTATTTTTGTAAATGATAATTTTAAGTATGATTTAAAACTACATACATTAATTTTTTTTTCAGTCTTGTTACATTTTGAGTAAATAAAACAAGGCTACTTTCACTTTCATCTATGATCCAATTCTGTTTTAAAAAAAGGAGTGTGTTTTGAGTTAGGGAAATGAACTCAGTAGTGGGAGGGGTTTGTTTTTTAGTGTAATATTTGAGAACAGAGATCTGTTAAAACTTTAGTTTTGTTACTTAGAACATGTTAATGAACTAAAAGGTTTATAAGAAGTAATTAATTTGCAGAGCAACTCTGATAAAGAACCACCATTATCTTAGAAAGGTGTGCACTTGTTCTGGAGGGAAATTAGTGTGTTGGCACTTCTTGTTGCAGAATCTTAGAGGTGAGTCAGAAATACCATCTGGCCTTAAACAAAATTTAGGAAGAGCATGAAAGTCTACTTGTTTTTATTGTCCACTTTTCTTCCATGTCACTGTATAAGAGAAAGACTATAGTGCCTTTTGGTACTTGCTAAGGGTTAGATTTCTGAGAATAGTGGGTTGGTAATGTGGTTGTGGTCTGGGAAGGGTAGCTCTAAGACTGGTTAAATTCCTGCCTCTTTGCTACACAGATATTGATATTATGTCATTTATTTTCTTTGAAAGTAAATACCTTTCAGATCTTCACCATTCTCCATCCATGATTTTGGAAAATTATTCCTCAGTAGGGAGTAAGGATTGGGGGCCTATAGTGATATCTGTATCAGAATTTCCTTAGTGGGAGTGGTTGTGAGGAGCCAATTTTGAAGACTCATTACACCCCCGCCCCCCATCCTAACATGCTGCTGTTATGAGTAGGTGTCTTTGGTTGGATTGTGATAGGCTCTTTTTATTGACTCTAAGGTTGCTTTAGCCTTGCAGATCCCCCTAGTGGTGGTTTTTTTAAAGGCCGGCTTCAGTGGCTTATTTCCTCAGAAAACAATAGGGGTTTTTCACAGCCCCTTCTAGATTTGGACAGAGAAATAATACAAAGCCAGGTTAAAAAAAAAAAAAAAAAGTTCAGAAAATGAGATAATTCCTTCGCTTTTGAGTTGGAATTTTACGGTAATCATTTCCAGCCTATCACATACCTTTTGTGAAACTTTCCATGACCCCATCAGTCTGCATATTCATTTTAAGAAATATTAATGAGCATGTATTGCTTGGTAGTGTGTTAGGATCTAGGGACAATAGGGTAAAAGTAAGGTGTGTTTTCTCCACTCAAGGTAGCTCATAGTTTAGTGGAGGAAGGATAAGGTAAATTAAGACAGCAGTAGTAGCATCAGATAGTGCAGTGCTCTGTCTGCTGGTGGTGATGAAGAGCACTGACTTAGGGTGGGTTCAGTGGCTTCAGCTTTTGTGTCCCGTATACATTCCTTTACCTTTCATAGAACATTTTACAATTACATGTATGATTGCTCTAAAAGTATGGTTAAAGCATAACAGCTAACACTTGCTAAGTATACACTTTGTGCCTGGTACTGAGCTATATGAGTTACAAGTATTGTTTCATCATTCTCATTATACCCCCGCATGAAAGATGGCATTTTACACACTTGATTAGATGAAGATCAAGGTAGACAGCTAGGAGGAGCTGGATTAATATGTGCTCAATATTTGATATTTAAACAGTAGAAAAATATTGTAGAAAAGTCTAATTTCCATGAGGGCAGAGATTTTTCTTTTGTTTATTAATGTATTCCGGGTGCTAGAACAGTACCTGGAACATAGGTGCTCAATAAATATTTATTCAGTGAATGAATTTGTTGAATGCTAGTCCATAAAGAAAAATACTTAATAGTTTGGTATCTGTTATTCTGGACTTAAAAAATATATACTATATGTTTTTTAATTTTATTTTTTTGAATAGGCAATACATGGTCCATAAATCAAAATACTATAAAAAGGTATACAGTGAAAAGAAGTGCTCCCACCCCTGCCCCCATTCCCCCCTACCTCAGGTAATCACTTTTATTAGTTTCTGGTGTTTCCTTCCAGGATTTCTTTATGCAAAAATACATGTGTTATTTCCCTCCTTTCTTACATAAAAAGCATATTGTGCCCTTGTTCTGGACCTTGCTTTTTTAATTACAGTTTGTGATTTTTTTAAAACATGCATGTAATCATAGTGTACAGTAGTGTTTTGTAACCTACTTTTTTTCCCTCGGCAAAAGTATACTGCAGACATCTATCCTTGATCCTACAGTTTTACCTAAGGGACACGTTTTAAGTTATTTGACTAAAGAGACTTATAGTTGGGTAGAAGTCTCACACTTACCTTTGGGGAAGGTTTAGTCAATATATTAGGCAAGAAAATATTATGAGGCATAGCTCTTTAAAAGTAGAGTTTAGTCATTACGATTGTACATTAAGCTGAGAAGAGTCACCTGAAAAGCAAAAGTGATGAGTATCAAGTTGACCCACTATTTCCTCAAATCAATAGCTTTCTCCTTATGTGCTAGCAATACCAATATCTTGGTAAAAAGATCCTTGTCACAGTAATAACAAAAAATCCTAAAATATCCAGGAATTACATAGGGATGTCAGGATCTATATGAAGAAAATTACAGAACTTTGTTGAAGAGTATAATTTAAAAAAAAAGATTGGATAAATACAGTAATATCCACTTTGTGTCCCAAACAATTTTTTCTTTTATTTTTATAATTTGGCTAAGATTAGTGATGAGTGTTTGGGTCCAATTTTCTTACTGATATATAGTGATACGTTAAGCATCCTTTTAGTTATCTTTTTGTTTCTCTAGGATATTTTAAAGAAAAAGTTTTTGCAAAATCTTCATGACTTTTTTTTTTTAAATTTATTTATTTGAGGGAGAGAGAGTGCACGTGCATGCATGCGTGGGTGGAGGATGGGGAGAAGGAGAGAGAATCTTAAGCAGAGTCCGTGCTGAGTGTGGAGCTGCACACAGGGCTCTTATCTCACAACCCTAAAATCACAACCTGAGCTGAAACCAAGAGTCGGACGCTCAACCAACTGTACCATCCAGGTGCCCCTTCATGACTTTTGATGTATGAAGAAGCCCATAAGAGATTATATAGAAATTTGAACAGCAGTTTATTCTTAGTGCTTTGAAATAGTCTCATTAAAAAAAAAAAAAAAAAGTCCATGTTGGGGCACCTGGTTGGCTTAGTCGGTAGTTCATGTGACTCTTAATCTCAGGGTTGCGAGTTCAAGCCCTACTTTGGGGCTTTTTAAAGCCCCACTTTTTTAAAAAAAGGGGGCCAAGTAACAAATTGGTATTAATGTGTAATAAGTTTTTGCAAAAATTGACATAGGGAAAGACAAAGGGCGCCATATGTTGATTCTTAATAGAAAAGAGAATGTCTTATTGTGGACTATTTATTGACTGTTCTAAGAAGAGACTGTAGTATTGGAATTCAGTGGATTGTAAAATTCTGGGAGAGTGTTAGTTTAGAAGCAATGAAGAGTTGTTTGCTAAAGATAAAAAGCATACCCCAAAGCAGTAGCCTAAAACAAATAGGGAGGTTCTGGGCAGAGAATAGTTGACATCAGTGCAGTTTGTTTTCTTTTCTTTCTTAAAACAAAGGCAACCATTCCCTGGTTTGTTAAAGGAAAAGTGTTATGTTCTATCAGCTAGAGTTTAGGTTTGCTTATTAAGGTATAACCACATAGGTGAAAGATTTTGATTGAACTTTTTCACGTGTATTTGTCAAAGATCATTATTTGATTTGGGTTTTTAGAAGGAAATTTCAGTTTGACTTAGCATTTAGAATTTTTCTTTCTGGTTCTAACCCTATAGTGGACATTCAGTACTTTCACTTTCAAAGCATGTCGCTTAACAGTACGTCTAAATCCTGGAACTGGATAGCTATCAGATCCCATTCATATTTCTGCACTGTGAAATTAGCAAAAAGATATAGCCAAGTACTTGATCTCAGTTTTGTCTTCTTGTGGATAAACATTTTCCCCAGCTATTTACTTTTCACCTAACTCATGTATTTAAGATGGTTATTACTTCTAGGTTAGTCCAGAAACTAAGGAATACCTCTTGAGGACCATTGCTGGAAGTTGTTGAAATATAGTCTATAGTTTCAAATTTCAGGGGGTCAGTCAGGTTGATTCATAGAATATATCTGAGATACCTACTTCTAAATAAATATTTTTGGATATAAAGTATTCTTTTCAAATATGAAAGAAATTTGAGTTAGAGTTATTTACACTATAGTTGATTTTAGGTGTTGTCATATTACAAGATTTTTTTTTTCTGGTAACTGAAGCTTATAAGGTTTTAAAATGTGTTTAATTTTTTTATATAGCTCCACCAAGTATGTTGGTGAAGGATGAGTATGTTCATGACTTTGAGGGACAGCCATCATTATCAACTGAAGGGCATTCAATTCAAACCATCCAGCATCCACCAAGTAATCGTGCCTCAACGGAGACGTACAGCACCCCAGCTCTGTTAGCTCCGTCTGAGTCTAATGCTACCAGCACCACCAACTTTCCCAACATTCCTGTGGCTTCCACAAGTGAGTAGTAGAATCAAATGTAGTCCGCAAGTTGATCTTACCCTATTTAATATTTGTATGTCATCATTATATCTACTTGGAGGAAAACTCCAAGTAAGTAAAAATTAAAAGTACTGTGGTATCTTTTATAGGAAAAAAGTATTAAATTGGTTTCTCAGTTGGTCCTGAAAAAAGTGGTGTTTATAATTTACTTAAATTTTTTTATGTTGATGTACAGTCACTTGGAATTTAAGTAATGACTTTGATTATAATACTGATTTAAGTTAGTGGTCTAATTTGTAATTTCTCTACTATTACATGCAGAAATAAGAATTGTCTTGCACTTTCGGATGTATTTTAGAGAAGCATTTAAGCAGTTAACAAGTAGTTTTGGACCAAGATGTTTATAAAAATCTCTGTCAATTGAACTGTACACTTTGCTTTAATCAGGGTTTCTGTTGTGCTGTATCTGGCAGAATATTACTTTGTAATAGTCATTTTCAGTTTTCCTTTGTACAAACTTAGAAAAAGCGATCTTGATCATGTTTATAATATATATATTATATACAATAATATGTATATTATAATAATAATATGTATAATATATAATATATATATCCTTCAAGATAGACATTAAGTATTCTAGTCTGTTTTGAAATAAAGCTAAATTCTAGGTATCTATGTATTATTATTAATTATTTTTAACCAAGAAATCTTTTTCAAAAAGATTCTTCCCATGACAGAGATGCCATTGTCTTTGCCACATTGTAGAGGCAGAGGGCTATTAGGTTTATCTTTTCTTGGGGCCCGATCAGGCAATAATGACTCTGTTCTATAAATACTGCTATTTATTTTCACAGTACCGAAGTTTGCACAGTTTGCTGTTTGGCAATCAGGTTTTTTTTGTTTTGTTTTGTTTTAAACTAATTACAGAGCAGGGTCTTGGCCTATATATGGTGTTATTTGTACCTGGTTGCTAAGGAGATTGTATCTAAGCCCACATCAGCAGTAATTGTTGCTAGATCTGGACTAGTACTTTATTAGCAGCTACCAAAGGGAGCAGTATTCTATTTACTTTAATATCTGATCAGATTCAAAATAGAAATTTGATCTTTGGAATAAATAGAGGACTGATTTCTCTAATTAAGTTTATAAGTATGGTGTACCAAATATCCTCCCTCTAATTCATTTTACCTCTTCAAAGCAATATATTTTGGATTTGCTTTGTAAGATGACGGTCTCACCATAGGCAACATATTCTAAGTGGAGTTTAGAGGTTAAGCACCTACTTTAGAACCTGGACCCTCTTAATTACTTAGTGCTTCTGTTATCTGTCTACTCTTTATTAACCAATTTGGAAATGTAGTTGACAGAGTAGTCAGCGATGGAGAGTAAGAGAAAGCAAGCACATTATAGCCACCCAAGCATAGATTAGTGAGAGTACAGCCACTTACTTACTTACTTCTGTTGATATTATCTGGAGATTGAATTTGCATGCCTTTGTTGATGCTTGCTAAAATGGTTTTAAGTGTTCTATGCCCTGGAGTCAAGTCCTATTAAATACTAGAAAAAGTGGTATTTGTGAAATTCTGATAATTTTTCTTGGTTATTTTTCTAATTGAATAGATGAATATTTTTCTAATTGAATAGATGATTATTTTTAGAATCTGTCACAAAATGTTCTTCTAGATCTCAAAACATGTATTGATAGAATTAAAAGGAAAAAAATAGGACTAAAACAGGAATTGGAAGACTATTTCAAATGAGCTAGTATAGTTTAGTTCTACTATTTAATTTCATCTTATATACTTGGAATTGTGGAATGGAAATATTCAGTAGAGATAACCACAGTGAGCTATTTTATAGTCTGTGTTCATTTGGCACTTGAATATTTTCAGGTTTTCTTTCTAAATATCTGTAAATTAAGATAATCTCATTTCACCTGCATAGTGACACTTTTTGTAAGTTAGCTAAGTCTGTGGCATGCATAGTTGTTAAAAGCAAGAGTAAATGTAATTAACATTTAAAGATAACTTGGAAAAAATTAGGCATATGTGTAGGGAGGGGGTTCCTAAAAACATCTTTAAAAGTAAATAATTTGGGGATTATTGCAGTAATCTCTTTAACTTTTAATTTTATAATCCTCACCATAAGGAAATGTGATTTGCAGAGAGGAGAAAAGTGTTCCTTTTCCTTGGTACTTTGAGTAATGGTGTCATTTCCTTTCTTCTATCTATATTCCCATTTGGATGAGAAAGTGATTCCAGTGATAGATAACAGTTGTGAAATTTCAGTGCTTTCCAAATGCAATAAACAATTGGCTTAATTAATGCTTGCTTGAAGAAATCAAACTTTTTCCACTTAAAAAAAAAAAAAAGAAAGCCTTAAAAATGTAGGTCGTGTGTATACCTGGCTGGTTTGGTCGGTGGAGCATGGAACTCTTCATCTCAGGGTCGTGGGTTTGAGCCCCACTTTGGGGGCAGAAATTACTTTAAAAAATAAAAAATAAAATCTTAAAAAAAATAGTAGGTCAGTAAGCAATACCGTAGAATGGTTTTTGAATAGAATAGAAACCAGACAAATCTTGCTCCTCTTGGTATATTACATATAGAACGGGTAGCTAATTTCCTGTCAATCCAGGAAGATGATAGTGTTCTTGGAAGGAGGTGATTTTTGATTTTTTAAAGTACCTGAAAAAATTTCAAAGTAGACTTATAGTTTGTTGTTGTGGTTTTTGTTTTTTGTTTCTGTTTTTCTTTTCTTTTTTCTTTTTTTTTTTACTAGCAGTGCTCTGTTGATTGAACAGTGGAGCTTGACCTTTTCTAAACTTCACCTTACCCATCACATTCCATTTAAAATATTTGCCTGCTCTGCTTTTCTTTTATCAAACTCTGCATTTTGCCATTACCAGTACCAGTGCTGATAATAATGAATTTCCAGTTTTCAACAAACTTTCTTGAGTTTGGACTTTTGGAGTCCTAATCAGAAAGGTCCAGAGCTACATGGCATGGCCAGGGATGAGCTGATGTACTTCTGAAGTTATTATGATAGACTAGACATATAGTGGGATTTTGCTGGCATTTGAAGAATATTTACAAAGGAAAAGTCCTCTGAAATTAGCTAGACATTACTTAAGGTAGAACAGTTTCGGACATTTTCAAGTTAAGGTTTGCCTTCATAGATAACTTCAGGGTTTTGATAGACCACGGACAAGTTCCATTTTTTGCCCATCTTTATAGTTGTGATTATCAGATATAATTTGTCCTTCATTTACTGTATAAAAACATAGGATTGCATCGATCAATGTACCGTATTAATGTCTTCTTATTCCTCTAGGTCAGCCTGCCAGTATACTGGCGGGCAGCCATAGTGAAGGACTGTTGCAGATAGCTTCAGGGCCTCAGCCAGGACAGCAGCAGAATGGATTTACTGGTCAGCCAGCTACTTACCATCATAGTATGTACATGCTTTTTAAAATCTTTTAAGTAGTTGAGAAAAAATAGGCAGACTTTCTAAAAGCAAATTAATCCATGTGGGCCTTAATTTTTAGACAGCACTACCACCTGGACTGGAAGTAGGAGCGCACCATACACACCTAATTTGCCTCACCACCAAAACGGCCATCTTCAGCACCACCCGCCTATGCCGCCCCATCCCGGACATTACTGTAAGCTCTCGTTTTTGTTGTAAGGGCCTTTTCTTTTTTGAGAACTGGTTTCCTTTCTATTTTTTTTTAAATGTTTTTGCATCTTTTATTCATCTTACAATTTAGTTTCATTAAATGACTACTGCTTTTTCAGCATTTTTGGTAAACAATATTTACTTTTTGTAGTTTTGTTATCATACCTTTGTTTTAGAGGAGTGATGTTTACTAAATACATTTATTTCTCTGTTGCTGATGTTTCATTAACACCACATTGATTTCCATTCATTTGTTTGTTTGCTTTTTATATGTTCTTAGATCTCATGTATACCTGTATATCCACCCTAAGTGGATTGAAACTCCTTGAGTGTCAAGATCTCAAGGTACTCATCATCATACTATTCAGCATACTGTAGACACTTAGATGTTGAATCTGTCATTACTCTGTGCAGTCTTGTTTGGGAAGGAGACTCTACTGATAATCATAGCTTGTAGTTTCAGGCAGAAGAGGAACATTGTTCATCTGGCTTAGTGAAGTCAAGAGCATACATTTTTCTTATGTATTAAATTCCTTTTCCTCCGTTATAAGAGTAATATTACCAAAGAAAACTTGGAAGATACAGAAAAGTGGAAATAAGAAAATAAAAATTACCCAGAGTGCTCCTACCTAGAGATACCTACTTCTAAAATTTTGTCGTATTTTTTCTTCCAGTCATATAAATGGGTCTCTTATACACTTGGGAGGGAAAATATCATACTGCGTATATATTGTTGTATCCTTCTTATTTTCAATTATGTTACTGTTTTTCCATGTCTTAGAGAATATACTTTTTTATGGCTGCCTGGCTCAGCATAGTGGTTAAGGTGCTGAGCTTGGACCCCTTAGCTGGCTGTGTGACCGTTGACAGGTTATATAATCCTCACTAACTAAGCCTTAAGGGTAACAATAGTATCCATTTCAAGGAATGTTGTAAGGAGTAAATGTAATACTTGTGAAGTGTTTAGCAGGATGTTTTAACACTTAATAATCTCTTAAATATCTTAGCTACTGCTCCATTATGTAAATATCCTTAATTTAATAAACCTTAAACACTTATTTTCAGAATGGACCTACAATTTGAATTATTATTATATATTACGTTGTAAATTATAGTCTATCATGTTACATGAATAATTCATTTATAATTTACATTAAGGTTTCCATGTACAATTATTGTAAATTGCTAATAGCACTTGGCACATAGCATTAAAGTGTTAGCTCTTAACTATCCACAAAAGTAACTCGAGTATTTGCTTATTATAAAGTAATCTAAACAAAGCTTTTAAATTTTTAGATATTGCATAAGCTTGATTTAAACAACTCCTGAGGTACAGTAGTTATATTTTATTAAATATTTATTAAAATATTTATTTTATTAAAAGTTTTATTAAAAGCAAGGTTTATTAAAAGTTTTAGCATTGGAAAACTTTTAATAAATAAAAATGGGATTTTTGTCTTTTCTTTAGGGCCAGTTCACAATGAGCTTGCATTCCAGCCTCCCATTTCCAATCATCCTGGTAAGTGCATTTCAACATTGATTCCCTATATTTAGATTTTCTTTATAGTAATTAAAACACACACACACGAACACACACACGTTTTAGTATAATTACAGAGTAATCTAACTTTTTAGATAAGTATAATACTCCTTATATCACATTAACTAATCAGCAGTTCATGAGTAGCTGATATAGTCACACATAGGGTGTCCATATTTGATTCTTTTTAACTGTCTGAAAGAAAAGACAAGAACTGTCTTTTTCAGCTAAAATATGAAGTAACAAAATGCTGGTTTTAGCATTGAATACATAAATATGCAGCAGAAGAAAACTAGGTTTCAAAATAGAACAGCTGTAAAAATGTAGCTTAAAAAGCCAGGGAAGAATCTGAAGTAGATGCTGAAAATAAAAATAATTCACTGTGTCTGTTTCAGAAGATAGATTCAGGAATTTTTGGTTAATTGGAGTTTTTAGAAACTTTTTGATTAAATAATCTTCAAAAGAGTAAATAACTAAATAGATTTCCTCAGTTCAGAGTTTGAATATATCTTTTTAAACTATAGAAGTATAACAGAAAATTTAAATAAAATACTGGGGGCTTCTTAGCATAAATATAGGATTTTGATTTGTTTTCCTCTATCCTTTCATACCTTTTTTCCTTAGCTTAAAAAGTTGGAAATATTTAATTTCCACTCATCACTTAATTTTTCCCCCTAATTAAAAATAATTTATTTTATTTTGAAGAATTTCAAACATACACCAAATATCAGATGCCCCCTCCCCCTAATATACTCATTCCTCAGTTTCAGCTGTTATCAGCTGTGTTTCATTGATACCCTCACCTATTATTTTGAAGGCAATCCTATAAAATTGTTTTGTGTATAAATATATGATCGTGTATTTCTAATAAAAATTTTTTAAAAGCATTGTTCCAGTAGGCATAATGATCAGTTTAAAGGTAAAGGATAACTTATAGTTCTTCAAATAGGTCTACATAATTTTCTTAAACAGTGTTCTGTTTGTTTTTTTTATGTTCTAATTTTTCTTCCAGATGTTAGAAAAACCCCAAACCATTGAGGGTAAGATTTTCAAGCTTGTGACTCTTCTCATATTTCAGTTTAAGAGATTTAAAGAGTTTCTGAATCAGAAGGCTAAATTGCTTTACAGAGACCGTATCAGAATGTGAGAACCAGTTTTACCATGCTCACCAGTATAGGTGTGATAGTTTGGTATACTTTTTGTTGATTTAGGAGGCAAATAATATTTGTTTTAAATGCTATGGCTGGGGCAGAAATACTTTTTAACCATACATGATTAGTAGTTAAATAATCCTCTTTAGTAGATTTTCTTCATGTTATTTGCATATTTATTGTAACTTTAAACGTTTTGGGGGGTTGAGGAGCCTTGCCTTTTTATAAACATTTTTACTGAGAAATAGAATATACAGAAAAGTATATAAAACAACTATATGTATAGTCTCATGAATAACATTGAGCCAACACCTAGGTAACCACCACCCAGATTGAGAATTAAAATTTGCACACCCCTAGAAAAGTTCCTATCCCATTTTCAGTCAAAAACTTTCCTTCTCCCTACCAGAGATAAGCACTATTCTGCTTTTCGTGGATACTATTTTTTTTTTTTTTTTGCTCTTTGAAAGTGGTGAATGCATCACCCGTCTAGTTTAGTAGATCAGTTTTACTTGTTTTTGAAATCATATAAATAAAATCGTTGTATCAAAATTTTAATTTGTTGTGAATAGACATTGTGTTAAGGGGAAAATCTAGAGTCATAAGAATAAGAATTTTTTCTGGCTTCAAGAGAGCATCATTGGGAGTCATGGTTCTTGGGACTTTGGGGGGGCCTCAGTGTCCATATAGATTAGTGGAAGGTGGTCTGTAGGAGGGAGGAAAACCAGAGCTCAGGAGAAAGACCCACCCTGAATGAGATGGTGAGGTGAGGTTGGAAATGGTGGCATTTAGCCGGTTATTTGGCCTCAATTTGGATTCAGCAGTTGCTTTTGGCTTCTTGATAGATGTTTTATTCTTCTCATGGTAGGACTGATGTTGAGATCTGACAGCTCCTGGTGGTTAGGGAATAGCATTAACTAGTTATGAGGATACACATTTGGAACACCCCACATTGGCAGTAAAGCTTTTGACTGTGAGTAGAATAGGAAGTGACAGTGGTTGGAATGATCCTGAAAGGTCTCTGAGTGGTTTTGCGAAGGGATTAGCTCCGTGCATACATCTTTAGTGCAATCAGCTGATTGGAACTCAGTTGCCTGTGAACTCTTTGGCTATGAATACTTACAAGTCCCAGAGGAGTTTTACCTCACAACTGTTTTCTTCATTTCTTCTCTTGTACTGTTAAGAGGATATTTAACTGGTCTCCCTATTGGGAGAGCTTCTAGTCATAGTTTAATCTCTACTCTTACTCAGTATTTCTTTCCAAATTTGAATCTAATTACTTCTCTGCTAAAGAACTTGCATCGTTTCCCCTACTTATTGCTTGGCCCAAAGGTCTAAATTCCTTAGCTGGACATATATACATACATTCTCTGATATATAATCTTGCTCCTGGTCCCTGTGTGCTTTCCTAGCCTTGTCTCTTTATGCTTTAACCATCCTGAAGCACTTACTCAGGCTTGCTCAGCTATATCATTCCTCTATGCAAAAAAAATCTGTCTGATGGTCTTGTACTCTGTATTAGTTACTTGTTCTGAACTAGAGTACTCCCCAAACTTAGCTGATTAAACCAGTAATAGCAGTCCTTGATCTTCGTTCCTGTGGGTCAGGGATCTGGGAATGGCTTGGTTGGTTTGCTCTGGACTTAGAGTTGCATGAGGTTGCAGTCAAGATGTTGGCTTGGGCTGCTGTCATCTGATGGATTTTCTGGGGCTAGAGGATTCACTTTTGCGGTGGTTTACCCACATAGCTGGTAATTCAGTGTTATTGTCTGCAGGAAACTCCATTTCTCTCTGTGTGGACCTCTCTGTAGAGCTTCTTGAGTGTCTTCACATGATAGCTAACTTCTCCCAGAGTCAGTGATCAAGAGAAGGCAAGACAGAGTCTTGGGGTCTTTTAAGACTTAGCCTCAAAAGTCACATCATAATTTCTGTAAGATCTTATTTTGTGGGCAGGGGATGACACAAGGATGTGAGTATCAGGAAATGAGAATCATTAGGGGCCACCTTGATGCCCACCCATGTACTCCTAAAGTCCTAAATGTGGCAAACTGTATTTAAGATCTAGCTGGCATATACCACTGTTGGGAAATTCTTAATCCCTGTGTCCCCTTCTATCTAGTACTTTTAATTCTTTTGTTTGTTTTTTTAAAGATTTTATTTATTTATTTGACAGAGAAAGTGAGAGAACACAAGCAGGGGGAGCAGCAGAGGGAGAGGGAGAAGCATGCTCCCTGTTGAGCAGGGAACCCGATGTGGAGCTTTATCCCAGGACCCTGGCGTTATGACCTGAGCGAAACCAACTGAACCATCCAGGCACCCCTCTAGTATTTGTAATTCTATTAAATTATAGATGTTAGTTTACAACTCTGCAATCCTGTTTCATAAAGGAATAGAAAACAAAGTTAATATTTGTTTTAGGTGTCTGGTTAATACAGCCCCTTAAGGTCTGATTAAGAAATGCTAAAATATTCTACCACAGACTTAAGGCCATTTAGATGGGAAATAACCATATACCCTGTATGTAACTATATTACATACAGTTGAAATACTGAAATGCCATCAATATATAGTGAATCTATTTTGAGAAATGATTTTTGAAGATAGTTACATAGATGATTTCAGAAATGAGGTAATATAAATTGTAAAAAAGGAAAATAATTATTATTGGTCATTACCTTGGTGTTAAGGATTTTGGTTGGGCCATATACTTGGTGATTTTTATATTTTGATAACTAAGTTGAAAAAAAATTTTTGGAAAAGGTTAATCATTTTATTTCATTTTTATAAACTAACTCTGTTTTTGCTTTTTCTTAAAGCTGAGATGTATTCATTGAATTAAATATTGATTACAAATTAAAGTGAAGAGTTTCCTCAGTGTCTTTGAGGTTGTTTTGGTAATTCACAAATGAGTTCAAATCCGCAGATTTCTACATTCAGGTTATATTCTAGTACTTAGGAACTATCTACTACTATTCAAGAGACTGCCTTTACGTGTTGATAAAAGATTTTCATAGGGTATCTTAACTCAGATCTAAATAATAAAAGAAATAATTCATAATGAATCTCTTGGGTACTGTAAATCAAGTTTTTAACTTCTTGAATGATTTTATTTCAGAAATTAAAGACAATGCTTTGGAGACTGCATTTTTCAGTGTAATTGTGCTTTATAATACATTTTCCCATTATAAAAAATTTTTTTAGCTAAGTTTTTATATTGCCAAAAAAAAAAAAAAAATCATGTTGTTAACTCAGGTTTTTAAAAACCTTTTCTCTGGCCAGTGATGAGCAGTCCATAGGCTTCATGAGACCAGCTCAACTTCACTAATTCAGCAACAAGAAGCTAAAAATACCATCAGCAAGCACATTAACAGTCCCATTCCCTTTCATATGACTTTGGACATTAAGAAAGCCGTCTCTGAACTGAGTAATTTCATCTGCTATTAATACTAGTTTTGAGAAGCTTCAGGCTTGTCACTTAATATGGCATTTGGTCCTTGGAGCAAAAGAGCAAAGAGAGATCTAGAAAGTCTTAATGAGTGTTTCCTATTACCTTCTCCTGTTTAAAAAAAAGTTTCTTCCTGGCTGTTTAGCAAATTGAGAGTGGAGTAGAGGTTTTTCACATGGTATGTTGTATCGCAGCACTGCCAAGTTTTCTGGAACCCACTTAGAGTACTTCTAGTTCTCTGTCTTGTCAGACAGTAACTCCCTTCCTCTTGCTTTCTTAGGGCTTAATCTCTTAAAAGGTGGTTGTTTTTTCATCCCTGGTCTAGGGTGTGCAATTCTGATGCCACTTTCTGTTAACTTCAAGTTTCTTAAAACTCTTCATCTCAGTACTAACAGGTCAGCTCATTCAGAGATGCAGCTTTATGTAACCATATTAGGCAAGCACACAGAAACCCCTTTGGTGACTGGAAAATAATAAAATAAGGTTTAAGTGGAGTTGCAGATGTTACAATTCATGATGATTAAAAGTATATTTTTTCATATTTAAACAGAGAGATAATACAACTCTCTTTTTCTCTCTTGAGACTCTCGTGGAAAAAGATTGCTCACCATGGCACTTCTGGATAATGTTCTTCAGTATGTACTAGGAAGTGCATGTACCTTGGACCTTATTTTTTATCCAGCATTATGAACATTCATGACTTCATGGCATTGTTTTTAACAGAATTTACTGTTTGGATTGTCTAAAGACCTCTTTAAATGCTATTACTGTTTTTTGCTTCTAGAATATTGGGTAATTGTCTTAGACAATCTCTTTAGTTTTGGCTTCAACTAATATATCTGCCAGTCACGTTTGCTGAAGCTTTTTGTTCATAGCATAATGGATGTCTTTAATACAGAATAACTTAATAAAAATTTCAGAACTAGTTTTTTTTAAGAAGGGACTTCAGTATATCACTACTTTTTCATGTTTTAATGATAACCAAACATATTTAAAATAAATGTTAAGTATTTGTGATTAGTTGATTTGATCTCTGTAGCAGAACATTTGAATTGCTGTTTTTGAATCACCATCTTCATGTGGTTGGTTTTATTAATTCTTCATTGAAAAATACTTTCTTACTTGACAACATTTTTTTTAAAGATTTTATTTATTTATTTGACAGAGAGAGAGAGATCACAAGGAGGCAGAGAGGCAGGCAGAGAGAGGGGGAAGCAGGCTCCCCGCTGAGCAGAGAGCCCGATGTGGGGCTCGATCCCAGGACCCTGAGATCATGACCTGAGCCGAAGGCAGAGGCTTAACCCACTGAGCCACCCAGGCGCCCCACTTGACAACATTTTGAAAAGCAATTAAATACATAGCTTTTACAAGATTTTTTTTTTTAAAGATTTTATTTATTTATCAGAGAGAGAACACAAGTGGGAGGAGGGGCAGAGGAGAGGGACAACAGACTCCTTACTGAGCAAGGAGACAGAAAGCAGGACGCCATGCCGGGACCCTAAGATCATGACTGGAGAGTCAGACACTTAACTGACTGAACCATGCAGGCACCCCAGATTTTACAAGATTTTTTTTTTTTTAAGTTTTTATTTATTTATTTTTTTTGTCAGAGAGAGAACACAAACAGGGGGAGTGGTAGGCATAGGGAGAAGCAGGCTCCCTGCCGAGCAAGGAGCCTGCTATGGGACTTGATCCCAGGACTCTGGGATCATGAACTGAGCTGAAGGCAGATGCTCAACTGACAGAGCCACATAGGCACCCCTACAGGATTTTTAAAATATATTTTAAGTATCAGTCATACTTCATTTTAAGATATTTTGGAAGTTTGGAAGATCTACTTTTTTGTCATTTTAAGTATCTACAGATTGTTGAAAGTTTTATTGCTGCAAATTCTAGTTTAGTCAAAGTTCATAAAGGGCACATTGAGATGCAGATAAATAATTGGTTTATCAGCAGAAAACTTTAGTCTCTAACAAGTGGCACTGGCCTTTTCTCCCCTTAAATATGTCAAATTCATTTTTATTCCAGGGCCTTTGCATTTACTTTCTTTTTGAAGTGTTCTGTTTACAGTCTTTATATACATACAAGGTCTTTCAAATTTCACCTTTTCAGATAGGATGTACCTCTGCCATCTAGTCTAAAGGATTCTTTCCAATCATTTTCTATCGCACACCCCGTTTTATTTTCTCCACAGTGTTTATCATTCCTGGAGTCCTCTTACTCATTTATTTCCTTATTTGTCTGCCTTTGCGTCACCATGAGAACAGGGACAATAGCTGTGGTATTTACTGCTGAGTATGTTGTGCCTAGAGTAATTTCCTATATACTTTCTGTGTATCTGTTAAATTAGTTAAAAAAGGAAAACCAAATAATTTCTATGTATGTTATCTCTATGTAATAATATTTGTATTCAAATAAAAATTAGAAATACTTGATCAACTCTATTTGCAGACCATACCAGATAGTAGTGCCTTTCCCCGCTCAGTCATTCCAAGTTATTTGTCATTTATTGTTGTTCAAATGAATACACTAAATACATCTGCAAAGTTAAAATTGTAGTAGTTAACATGAATTGACTTCACTAAAAATACAGATGGGACAAATGACCTTTCACCCAAGAGACAGTTGAGAATCCTGCTCACAGCAACTGTATAGTGGAGTGTAATTAACCTTGACTCTAGTCTGGGATGGTTGACTTGCTTATGCCCTTTCTCTCAATTAGGGATCTATAAAAGTATGTCATAAATTGATGTTACTCAAAAACACTTACCTGGAATATGTCTTAGAGTCAGTGTGTTTAAAAAAAAAAAGTTCAGACTATGTAGAAAACATGTACAGTCAAATGAAACATGGTGATAAAATATTTTAGAATCTGATTACTTCTGTTCTTTAAGTTCCTAATTGGCTGAGTCCTTTGAGGTAAAAACCATTAAAAATGACTAGAGTTTCAAGAATGCTCAGGTACTGAGCTGAAAAATGGAAGACATGGAAGTACCTACTTTTTAATGGATTGTCATTTTGATCAAATTCTTTTGGGTGCTTTTCAGGTGCCTCTCCCCTTCACCCTTTTTTTAGGAAAAGCTTTGTCTTAGGGAATGAACATGAATGCCGTATATCTATCTTACATGGGTAGGTGTTCTCTCCTGTTTACCTCCTGTAGCTCCTGAGTATTGGTGTTCCATCGCTTACTTTGAAATGGATGTTCAAGTAGGAGAGACATTTAAGGTTCCTTCAAGCTGCCCTATTGTTACTGTTGATGGATATGTGGACCCTTCTGGAGGAGATCGCTTTTGCTTGGGTCAACTCTCCAATGTTCACAGGACAGAAGCCATTGAGAGAGCAAGGTATTGTTGAGTGTTTAGTTAGTTATTTTAAAACTTGAACATGGTACCTTGTCATTTATTCAAAGTTACATTTTTCTGTGTACATTTATAAGATTTTTGAATATAGATAAAGGTCATCTTAAAAATTCAGAATTCATAAGCATTGCATTGTAATTACAGATGTTATTAAAAATATGATAAAAATGGTCTTTTAAGTTAGTGATGTTTTTATATTTTGAATAGTAATAGACCTTTTGGTATCCAGTTTGAAACCAATTTGTTTATTTTCTCTTATATTATTTCTATAAATCTTTTGAGAGGAAATGTAAAATGACGTGTTTCTGCAAGTATTATCTATACTGTTGGAAAAATAAAAATAGGGAAATGGTTAAGTAAATTTTGATGAACTTTCATTTTTTTATGTGTTAAAGTGTTAATTGAAAGTTTATGTAGCAAATGTAAAGGCTTAAGATGAAATATTACAGGAAAATATGCATAGTTTTTGGTATTATAAGATCTCAGATCTTTAAGGAAGTGTGTGTGTGCTTAAGTACATAATCATAGCTCTATCACTAGCTATGTGACTTTGGCAAATTACTTACTCTCTAAGCCAGTACTGTCCGATAGAATTTTCTGTGATGAAGGAAACAGTTTATACCTGTGCTGTTCATTGCAGTAGCCACTACCTACATTAAAATATGGCTGTTGAGCACTTAAAATATGACTCATGTGATTAACTGAATTCTGTAATTTAAATGAGCACATGTAGCTAGTAGCTGTTGATTTGGGCAGTGTAGCTGTAAGCTTTTATATGCCTTAGTTTCATCATTTATAAAATGGGAATAATAGTATTTACCTTACTAAATTGTGAAGGTTAAGTGAGAATTTATATTAAATATTTGGTACAGAGTAAGCATTATATATATGCTCATCATTTTTTTTTTTATGAGTGAGATATTAAAAAAGGAAGTACGCAAAAATGTTAACAGTGGGTATCTTTCAGTAATGGTGTTATATAACATCTTTTATTTAAAAAAAATATATTTGGTATGCTGTATAATCTGAACTAAAACTTATCTTTAAATACTTCCAAAACAAAATGTAATTTCCTTTTTCTTCCTAAGGTTGCACATAGGCAAAGGTGTGCAGTTGGAATGTAAAGGTGAAGGTGATGTTTGGGTCAGGTGCCTTAGCGACCATGCAGTCTTTGTGCAGAGTTACTACTTAGACAGAGAAGCTGGGCGTGCACCTGGAGATGCTGTTCATAAGATCTACCCAAGTGCATACATAAAGGTTAGTTGCAGTTTTACTCAAACATTTTAGACTTAGAAAGCTCTATTTGTTGTTTAAAAAATTGAGATGGAGGTGGGAGGAGAAGAAAAATGTCTTTTTAATGTGTTAAATAATCAGAAATTATGTTTGTGTATAAAACACATTTCCTGGGGCATATATTGACATGATTGGCTATATCTAGTTTTATGATTGTATTCATGCCCTAATGTTTTATTAATAAATTTATTAAATGTTTTAGAGTAATACACAGGCTCTTGAAAATTTTGAGTGAAATCTTCAAATTTGTATTCCTTTGATACATAATAGGTAAAAATCAGACTCTAGAAATTTATCTTAGCCAGTCTTCAGGATTATACGGAGGAGAATTCTAAAATTAATAACTTTTCAAAGTAAGAATGTGAGAAATGAAAAATTCTTCAATCCCAATTTTTAAATGTTATTTTGTACATTAAGTGAGTTTTATTTGTTATCATTTTGTATATTAAGCCTGAGGTGTTTATCATTTATTCAGCTCATTTCAATTTTAATTTATAACATATACTGCTTTTGAAAGAAAGGTAGTTGGATTTAGAAAGCCTAAATGTATTTTTAATTTCAGATTTTTAACAGTTATTCTAAGCATCTTCATTTTGGCCATTGTAAAATAGTGAAATTAACTGTAACTCATCACTTATTCCCAGGAAATTGTTAGTGTACGAATAATAGAGTCAAATAGCATATACAGAAATGGAATTGCTTGATGGCCTCACAACAACAAACTCTCATTTTCAGTTACTGCCGTTCAGTTAAAGAATACAGGGATCTTTTTTTTTAAAACAACTTTGGAATATATCAAGTATGGAGAAAATAACAAACCCTCATGTACTCACCATCCAGTTTCAGCAGTCATCAGCATTATATCAGTTTGTTTTGTGTTTATCACTGTACCTTTTTCTTCCAGTAATTTAAAGCCAATTCCAAATATTAGTTCATTCATAAAATATTCTCCTGTGAGTGACTAATTGGTAAATATTTCTAAAAGATATAATCACAATGCTGTTTATCACACTTAACAAAATTAACAGTAATTCCCTGTTGAAAGTCTTGACAATAGAGAATCTTTATAGTGTTGATCTGTTAGAACAATGGAATAGACTAGAACAATAAAATATTAAGATACATTTATTGATAGGATATTTATGATGTGGAAATATTGATTATTAAACAATATATAGAATGTGATCTTATTTTTATGAAAGAAATAATATCAAGGATATTTGTATTCATTTATATATATACCTGCAAGTCTAGAATCGTGTACATGATGTCTTACCAGGAATTGTCTCTGGGAGGTGGAATTATCTTCATTTGCATTTTCCAGTTTTTCCACAAGGAATTTTAGTTATTTGTGCTTTATTGTTATTTTTAGGTGGTGTTGGATTTCCTTGTATGCTTTGCAGTCTATTTTATGTTGGTTGGCAAATTTGCCTTGAGAGAATTAATTCATTTTATTTTTAATTTTTTTCCTCCCTGTTATTGCTTCTCCCTATAGGCAGTTTTGCCTTAGTCTGGCACCCTGGGATCCACATCTCAGAATCAGTTCTTATATTTAGGAGGTAGAGGAATTTTGTCCCATGAGGAAATTGAGTTCCAATCCCCAGGTATGCACAGGGCCTAATTCCTCTTACATAGGTTTCTGATGCTTAGCTCTGCCATGGGCAAGAATTTTATTCCTAGGTGCATTTTCCAAATTAGCTGTCAAAGTGTTTTACTAGCACTTAATTCATGGGCAGGTACCCAGTTGTAGCCCTCAAAGAGCCTGGTTCTTTTTCCAGGTTACTATAAGAAGTTGAATTACTAACCTCTACATCTTTTTTTGGTCTTGGTACCCCAAGTACCTCCTATCTTTAGTTCCTGCTCTCCACTGTAGATTTTGTTTATCCATCATCAGTAGGTGGACACATGGATTATTTCCACTTTTTGGCTCTTATGAATAATGCTGCTCTGAACATTCGTATACAGGATTTTAGGTAGATGTTTGTTTTCCTTTTCTTGGATATATATGTAGGAGTGGATTTGCTGGATCATAGGGTTGATTCTGTGTTGAACATTTTGATGGGCTGCTAGACTGTTTTCCCAAGTGGCTATATGCCATCTTACATTTCCACCAGCAATGTATATATGAGAGTTTCAGTTTCTCTGTATTCTCATCAACACTTGTTGTTATCTTTTTTATTTTAGCTATCTTAGTGGATGTGAAACAGCATCTCATTGTGGTTTTAATGTGCCCTAATGGCTAATAATATTGAACATCTTTTCATGTGTTTATTGACCATTTGTATATCTTTTCTGGAGAAATATCTATTCAGATCTTTTGCCCATTTTTAAATTGGGTTGTCATTTTATTATTGAGTTGTAAGAGTTCTTTATATATTTTGGGTATTAGTCCCTTATCAGATACATGATTTGTGCATATTTTCTGCCATTCTTTGGCTTGTCCTTCATTTCACTTTCTTGATGGTATGGTTTGCAGCATGAAAATTTTTAATCTTGGTGTAGTCCAACTTAGCTGTTCTTTGGTCACTTTTGCTTTTGGTGTCTTTTCTAAGAAACCATTGCCTGATCCAAGGTCATGAAGATTTACTCTTATGTTTTCTTCTAAGCATTTTATAGCTTTAGCTCTTTAATTTAGGTCTGTGCTCCATTTTGAGTTAATGTGTGTGTACGATGTACGGAAGGGATCCAGCTTTATTCATTTGAATGAGAATATCCAGTTGTTCTGGCAACCATTTGTTGAAAACTATTCTTTCCCTTGTGAGTTATCTTGACACCTTTGTTGAAATTCAGTTGACCTTGAATGTAAAGGTTACTTTTACTTCTGTGCTATCAATTCTGTTTCATTGATCATATATATCTATATATTTATATCTATCTATCTATCTATCTATCTGTATGTGTATCTTCTTATGACAGTACTGCTCTACTGTAGCTTTGTGGTAAGCTTAGAAATTGGGAAGTGTGAGTTTTCCAACTTTGTCCTTTCTCAGGATTCTTTCGGCTATTGACTGCTCTTTCCATGTAAATTTACTATTGGCTTGAAGGATATATACTTGTAATAGTTTTTCTATCCTTTGTGCTCTTAGCAGAGAAAGAAGCTGTTCGTGCATACCTACTCATCTATCTTGACTTGGAAATCTCTAGATTGTGTAATTTACAGTGAATGGATAAAGAACTAGAGTGTTGATTATATACTATGTGTCAGATGGTAGTTATGAATTTATTTGATGTAGGGTCATATTTAAAACATTTGAGTTAAAAAATGTGGAATTTTGTATAAGTAAAGTAATTTCAAGGATTTTTAAATAAATGTAACATCTCTATTTTGGTACAGATGGCTCTTGAAAAGCTCCTGAGGTATGAGACATAAAATCACTTGATAAAACACTCATGGGTAGATTTTTATAGTAATCTCAGGCTTTTGCCATGAACAATAAATATCTTGTGGGACACTTTAGTGGAGTAAAAAACAGCATACCGTTTTGTCGTAATAACTGTTTAAGGTTTAAAAAGAATTATTTGTTTACCAAGCATATTATTATTGTTCAGAAGAATCTTACTAGCCAGAAAGAAAGAGGTGCAGATATACGCTAAGTCTTAACCATTGGCATTTTCTTCATTTGTGAATTTTTTAGGCAGTAGTAACTAAAGGATCTGTATAGTGCTGTTTAAATTGTCATATTACCACCAGAGATAATAATACTGAGATGAATTATATTCAGGTAACATGAACTTCCGGAAGGAGTAGTACCCACACGTTGGGAATATACCTCCCCCTAACCCCCTAAACATGCACATACAAACATATTTTTCTCTTTTTAGTTAAAATGAAGAAAACAAAGCTTTGAAGAACCATTCTTTTATTTTATGAACCAAGAAGCTAGAACTAAATTGGGGGGGGGCGTTCTACTAAGATGTTAATTTTTTTCCCTTCATCTTTCATGATGTCATAGTCCCCTTACATTCATGAAAATTTGATGTAATGAAATGGCATTTTACAAGCTTTATGTGAAGCAAATGTTTGAATTCTGAGTGGCCTTGCTGTTTTGCTTTCACAAAAGTAAGATCTGTTTTGTTTTATGGTGCATACTACTGGGTAGTCAGGTTTTTTAACAGCTTTATTGAGATATTGAGATAGAATTCACATACCATGTAATTCACCCATTTAAATTTTACAGTTCAGTGATTTTTAAATATATTCAGAGTTATGCAACCCTCATCACAATCAATTTTCAAACATTTTATCACTCTGGGAAGGAACCGCGTACCCTTTAGCTGTTATTCCTCAAATCCCACCCCCCCATTTCCCTCAGCACTAGGCAACCACTCATCTACTTTTTCTCTCTACAGATTTGCCTATTCAGAACCTTTTTTATAAATGAATTAATACAGTGTGGTCTTACGTGACTTCTTTCACTAGGCATAATGTTTTCAAGCTTCATCCACATAGCATGTATCTGTACTTCATTTTTTTAATGGCTGAATAATATTCCATATACCACATCTTGTTATCCATTTGTCAGTTGATAGATAAAGAGTTTCCACTTGTTGGCTATATTATGAATGATACTACTATGAACTTTAGTGTGTACAAGTTTTTATGTGAATGTATGTTTTCATTTCTCTTGGATGTATACCTAGGAGTGGAATTGCTAGATTATGAGGTAACAAGCATTTTGAGGGACTGCCAAACTGTTTTCCAAAGTGGTTTAACCATTTTACATTCTGATCAGCAGTGTGGGAAGGTTTCAGTTTGCAGTCTCATCAACACTTGTTATTATCTGTCTTTTTGATGTTAGTCATCCTAGTGGGTGTGAGTCATTGTGCTGGTTTTTGATTTACATTTCTCTGATGCTGAGTCAGGTTTATTTTTGAACACATGCATGTTAGGGGATGCTTCTAAATCACGGGTAGGCTAGGTTGAAAGTTATAATCCTAATAACCTTCAGATTGATTAAATTGATTCTCAATTGCCATATATTGTGATTCTTACCTCCAGGTCCAGTAACTTCATAAATTCTTAATGCAGTCTTATGTTCAAATGCCCAATATAACAACACCAGTTACCCGTTTCTCTTTCTGGGTTTCTAGTTTTTGGTGTTAATTTAAACTGAGAGTATTGTAATTAAGCCTTATATATGCAAAATACCAAAATTTTGACTGGTTGAAAGACAGTATCCTGAAGATGTTCACATTGAGCTTTTTAAGACACTAACTTGGGTTAAGTAATAGGATGTAATAAACTTACATGAGAGTAACCATAGGAAACACGCTTAAATAAATGAAAGTGATTAAGTCAGGAATGGTGATCAGAAATATCTTTTGGAAGTGCCTGCGTGGCTTAGTTATCTGCCTTCAGCTCAGGTCATGTGTTCCACGTTTGACTTTGTGCTCAGCGAGGGATCTGCTTGTCACTATCCCTCTGCCCCTCCCTCCCACTCATGTTCTCTCTCTCTCTCTCAAATAAATAAAATCTTCAACAACAACAACAAAAACCAAACAAGAAAGAAAGAAAGAAAGGAAGAAATATCTTTTGGATCTGAGTGCAAAAGAATATTTAAACCTTTGGTTCCTTTGAATTGTCTTTACCAACAACTGAGTCAGATTCTGAAAGCAAAATGATTGCATTTCAGTGATAGCCTTCATTTTGCCATCCGGTATAACAGATAAAACCTGTTATGGTTTAATGGATCAGATATATATAGAGAGGCGACCCAGGTTTCACTTAGCAGTATAGCCAGTAATTATAAATTTTCTGGTTCGAGTGCTTTAATTACATAAATAATCCACTGTGGAAGGGTTTGCTGAGGTGCTTAACAAATAATTTCTACATCTGCAGATAAAAGTGATAATATTTTAAAATTTCATTTTTGTGGCTACTATAATTGTAGCTGGCGTTAGCCTAGATTTAGGCTAAGACATTCATAATTGTGATTGTTTACAACATATTGTAAGGAATCGATGTGTGAAGATCTATTGGTTATTCATGGTGGGGAGTGGGGGTATGTTGAGAGCATATTTGAACCCTAGGAATTTGTAAGTTAGTTATATTCCCTGTTCCCAGAGAGTAAGATTATATAGGTACCATACTTGGTTAGTGATGATTAAAACAATTTTTTTTTTAAAGATTTTATTTATTTATTTGACAGAGACCCAGAGAGAGAGGTAACACAAGCAGGGGGAGTGGGAGAGGGAGAAGCAGGCCTCCCGCAGAGCAGGGAGCCCAATGTGGGGCCTGACCCCAGGACCCTGGGATCATGACCTGAGCCAGAGGCAGACACACTTGATGAATGAGCCATGCAGGCATCCCGGTTAAAACAATTTTTTAAAAGTGGTTGTAAAGACCTAAATGTTAAACACAACTATATGACATCTTGGAAAGGCAAAACTATGAAGACAGTAAGATCAGTGGTTTCCTAGGGATAAGAAAGGAGGGAAGGATAAATAGGCAGAGCACAGAGGATCTTTTAGGGCATTGACACTACTCTTTATGGTACTACATACAGTATTGGAGATATATATATATATATATATGTAAAATCAAGAGTGAAACCTAATGTAAACTATGACCTTGGGTGATGATGTGTCTGTGTGGGTTCATCAATTAGGACAAATGAACAAATGTATCACTGTGCCAGGGGACATTGTTCTTGGTGGGGACAGAACTCTGTTTACTTTCTGCTCAGTTTTAGCATGAACCTAAAACTGCTCTAAAATAGAAAGTTTGTTAATTTCCTTCTTTAAAAAAAAAGTAGTTGTAGAACTGTTTGGCTTTTCAAATATTTGAGTTCCTGCTTTGTACTGACTGGGTGTAACGCCTTCTGAGAGGTCATAGCCCAATGGAAAAGGTCAGAGTCTAATGGACTCTTGGGAAATCTTGAAAAAATAATGCTTCCTATTCTGGGCATTGTGAGATTTCTGATTTTCAGACCCGACTCTCATGCTTTCTGTCCTGCAGTCTTTTTGAACTACAGTTTGGCAGGGTAATACCTATATATTTGACAAATTAATACCTCTTCAGAGAATGAGATAGTATAAGTTTTGTCCTTCATTGATGCTAGAAGATTGACGTTGAATAGAGAAATAAGTAAATAAGAATATGAATTGCAATTTAGAGAGGATAGTTCTATGTTCTTCTTAATACCAAATACCATGATTAAAGACAATCAGAATTTATTTTTAAGGTATCTGAAAGTTAGTGGTTTGGATTCCAGACTTCTTGTTGTTGATCTGATATAAAGCAGCATGTTATGCATTCTTTGATGACAGTGATGATTCTTTTTTTTTTTTGGTTAAAGATAATTGTGCTTGCTCATACTGGGTTTTGTGCATACTAAGAGGATTTTTGTTTGTTTGTTTTTTCCTTCACTTTTTTTAAAAAAAATTTTTAAATTTTTTAATAAACATATAATGTATTATTAGCCCCAGGGGTACAGGTCTGTGAATCGCTAGGTTTACACACTTCACAGCACTCACCATAGCACATACCCTCTCCAGTGTCTATAACCCAATCATCTTCTCCCTACCCCCCGCCCCCTGGCAACCCTCAGTTTGTTTTGTGAGATTAAGAGTCTCTTATGGTTTGTCTTCCTTCCGATTTCATCTTATTTCATTAATTCTTTTCTTACCCCCCCAAGCCTCCCACGTTGCATCTCCACTTCCTCATATCAGGGAGATCATATGAGAGTTGTCTTTCTCTGATTGACTTATTTTGCTCAGCATAATACCCTCTAGTTCCATCCACGTCGTCGCAAATGGCAAGACTTCATTTACTAAGAGGATTTTTAAAATAATTTAATGTACTCTGAATAAGGAATATAGTCACATGGTTCAGAAATTAAGATAATATAAAAAGTTTGCGTTGAGCAGCCTGTTTCCACTCTGTTTTGTTTCCTGTGGCTTCTGTAGATGACCACTCTGCTTGTTAATATTTCGGTGCTTTTTTTAAAAGAAGACTTATTTATTTTTTTAGAGCTAGATTATGAGTGGGAAAGGCAGAGGGAGAGGGAGAGAGAGAATCTCAAGCAGACTCCCCACTGAGCTCAGAGCCTGACACAGGGCTCATGACCCCAAGATCACAACCTGAGCCTAAAGCAAGAGTTGGACACTTAACCGACTGTGCCACCCAGAAATCCCTTTCAGTGCTTTTTAAAAAAGCAAATATAAGCAAATACATTATTTTGGGAAGTTGTTTTTTTCCTAGAAAAAAGATGATATGATTTGTCATTCATAACTTATTGCTTACTTAAAGAGCATGTCAGTACTTTCATGAGGATAAAGATAAAAGTTTCAGGCCCTTCCTCAGTATACCAGCCCTTGGTGCCCTTGGTGTGGCTGGTAAATAACCATGAAATTACTTACGAATTCCTTATGTTGTCCTGAAAGGTAAATGATTCAGGGGAGGCTGAAACCAAAATACTAGGTAGCATTTATTGACAGCTTACTATATATTATGCTAAGTTTACTACAACTCTGTGAAAAAGCATGTACACTTAGCACTCCCATTTTATAGATAAGAAAATTGAGGCTCCAGAGAGATTAAGAATCTTATTAGCCCATGTAATTAGCAGATATTAGTGATATGATTCAAAGCTAAACTTTTTTTTTAATTACGAGCACTTTTCAACATACAGAAAAGTGGAGAAACTAGTTTAGTGAAATCCTGTATATCCATCACTGAGATTCAGTAGTTGTTACAATTTTATATTTGATTGATCCATCCTTTTTTTCTTTATTTCTTAAGTATTAAAAAAATTTTTTTATTAACAAGTTGGGGAGAAGGGAGAGTGGGGTAGGGGTGCGGGGAGGAGCCAAGGAAGAGGGCCGGGCAGACTCCACCCTGAGCACAGAGCCCAATGAGGGGATTGATCTCAGAACCCTGAGATACAGCCTGAGCAGAAACCAAGAGTTGGATGTTTAACCGACTGAGCCACCTAGGTGCCCTTATTTCTTAAGTATTTCAAAACGAGTCCTAGATATCTTGTTACTTTGCTCCTATGTACCAAAGTGTACATCTCTAAAAAGTATAGATGCTTTCTTAAATAGTGACAGTGCCATTTATTACACTTTTCCAAATAGCTAGAATGATAAAGAAGTTGGCACGTGACCAAGACCATCAATTCAGCCTAAAGAGCACTCTCAGCAGTTTGGTTACGAATAAAGGATAAAGGGTGGGGTTTTTTCGTAGGGACGGTGACTGCCCCACATTGCATTAGATAAAGGCCATAGAGGCCTGTGGCAGCCAGAACTCTCCTGATAGTGACCTGTGCCTCGTGCTGAGCTCCGGTCCCCTTCTCTAACCACTAGTTAGACTCTACATAAAAACTTAGATTTTTAAATTAATTTCTTTTCTTAGAGCTGCGTGGAGCTATGAATTTTAAATAAATCGTGCATTGGTTTTTGCTGTGCGGTGGCAGCATCTCTGATGGACTCCTGGCATTGAACTTAACGCTCTTTGCTTCAAGGTCTTTGACTTGCGCCAGTGTCACCGGCAGATGCAGCAGCAGGCGGCCACCGCGCAGGCTGCCGCCGCCGCCCAGGCAGCGGCTGTGGCGGGAAACATCCCTGGCCCCGGGTCGGTAGGGGGAATAGCTCCAGCCATCAGTAAGTATGCTTTCAGTTTTTTGTCCTAAAGTGTAATAGTTGGTATTTTATCTTGATTCACTCAGTTGCTTAGTTACTTTAGGCAATAACAGAAAACTAAACTACTTTTTTTACTGGGATAATAACATTTTTGAACTAAAAGACTGTTCTGTAATAGTTGCCCTTTGTCTAGGACCCTACTTTCATTCTTTCTGTATCAAAAAGGGAATATGGGATAAAGGACAAAGGGGGTTAATTGTTAGATTATATTGCTCAATCTCCTGTTTTTTTTTGTTGTTGTTGTTGATGCTTTTAATTCTTACCTCACCAGCAAGGGTGGGTTGTAATCACTGACGTGCTTGGCTTTATTCTAGAAGGAAAGCATATATCAAATTCAGAATTAGGTACCTCTCCAGGTTTTTTTTTAAGTATGCTAAGCATGGAGAGAAAACTAAGTGAGGGTGGTATTTTGATAACTTGTAGACTTTTTTTTAATTTTAGGGTAAAATTGAACTGTGTGCCAGGTTTCACACTGATGGGGAATTTTTTACTGCAGAGTTAAACTCCTGACTATAGACTTTTATGATGGAAACACGTGGCACCCATCTTCCACGTCTGAAGGCATAACTAGTGATTCATTCAACCCCTGTTCTTAACCTCTTCAGTGTGGTAAGCAAATCACACTGGCTAAGAAAACTGCAGTGGCCCTGCAGGTTTCTCTACAGCACATGCAGACGCCTCCCATTAGATTCACTGTGATACTGATGAGTGGAGATTGACTATATGACTGTATGTTCTGACTGGAAAATTAGCTGCAGAATCTCCTTTGTGACTTATGTTCAGGAGTTTACAGTGTAGAGGTAGATAAGACATATCCAGTTAGAGAATTGGCTTTTTAAATAATTGGAGCATCTAAACCATTAATTTGCTAGTTTTGATGTTATAAACATGCTTTTACTAAAGAGTCCAGAGCTGTTATTAAATTTCTCATTCTTAACTACTGCCCCCATTGAGTGATGGCACGGTATCTCTGTGACACTGTGAACTTAAGAGACAGACATTCTCTGGGTCATCCAAGAAATCCTTAGTGGAACCAGGACTATTAACTGTCTCACGGTTAGTCAGGTCTTACTTTGAATGAGGCTGTTCAAACAGACAGTAAGGTTCTTAGAACCAATCTGTGGACATGTGCTGCCTCTTAAAAACAAGTTGTTTTTTTTTTTTTTTCAACCCTTCACCTCTCCTTCTAAAGAGAAAAATAGGTGGGGTGTTGGTGGATTGTGGTAACTTATTTTATAATTGCTGGTAGCTAGAAGACTCATGTGGAATGTGAATTGTCTTAACCGAAAGTTTTCAGTCCCTGTTGATAAAGTGTAGATCTACACGTACTTCTTGGCACTTTGACAGAGAAGTTATATGCTGGGGAGCATGAAGTAAAGAAAGCTGGTTGGTCACTTTATTAATAAGGTGTAGGGAGGATGGAAGATACCAGCCTGTCCCTCTGACGTCTTCCAAATCTTCTCCGTTAGGTTTGTCAGCGGCTGCCGGCATTGGCGTTGATGACCTTCGTCGCTTGTGCATACTCAGGATGAGTTTTGTGAAAGGCTGGGGACCGGATTACCCAAGACAAAGCATCAAAGAAACGCCTTGCTGGATTGAGATTCACTTACACCGGGCCCTCCAGCTCTTAGATGAAGTGCTTCACACCATGCCTATTGCCGACCCACAGCCTTTAGACTGAGGTCTTTCACTGTCGGGGCCCTTAATGTTGTCAGGATGATGGACTATAAGATACAATCCTGTTTATAATCTGAAGATATATTTCACTTTTGTTCTGCTTTATCTTTTCATAAAGGGTTGAAAAGTGTGTTTGCTGCCTTGCTCCTAGCAGACAGAAACTGGATTAAGACAATTTTTTTTTTCCTATTTAGAACTTTTCAGGCATGGCTCAGAGCTTGAAGATCAGGAAAAACACATTCTTATTAAATCCTCACCAGTTATGTATGAAGGAATCATTCCAGTGCTGGAAAATTTAGCCCTTTAAAATGTCTTAGAGTCTTTTATATGCAGAACATTGATACATGTGTTATTCTACAGAATAAATTCAATATTGCTGATTTTAAAGGAGAGAAGTTCTCAAAGTTAATTCACCTATGTTATTTTGTGTGCGAGTTGTTATTGTTGAACATACTTTACTCCAAATATTGTGCCATGTGGGTGAGTTAATTTTACCAAGAGCAACTTCACTCTGTGTTTAAAAAATAAGATAGTAATGTATTATAACCTTTTATCCAAAATATTTTTTTGCAAGTTAAACTAGTGAAGATGATTTCAATTCAGATGGTCTTGTAACTTCAGTTTTATTTTTGCCAAGGCAAAACACTAATCTGTGTGTATATTGAGAATTCCTTACATTACCCCACAGAGAAATACCATTTAAAATTAACATTTGTTATCCCTGTTGGATAACTATTTATCAAGAAATACTCTTGCCCTGTTATACAATAGATGTATTCTTCTCTATTTCTAGGCATAAGGTTGGTCACTAAGTAGCCTAGAAGAGGAATTTCTTTCCTTCATGAATTCATAAGGAAAGGTTTTATATTTTTAAAAACACTAAAAGCAGTGTCACTCCACCTAATATCTCACTGTTCTGCAAAGGTGGCAATGCTTAAACTAAAAGTGAGTTGAGTATTTTGGAAACTGCTAAATTCTATGTTAAATACTGTGCAGAATAATGGAAACATTACAGTTCATAATAGGTAGTTTGGATATTTTTGTACTTGATTTGATGTGTGACTTTTTTTTCGTATACTGTTTAAATCATGTATGTTATGACATTGTTTAAAATTCAGTTTTTGTATCTTGGGGCAAGACTGCAAACTTTTTATACCTTTTGGTTATTCTAAGCCCTTTGCCATCAATGATCATATCAGTTGGCAGTGACTTTGTATAGAGAATTTACGTAGAAAAGTTGCAAATGTATTGACTGTACCACAGACACAATATGTATGCTTTTTACTTAGCTAGTAGCATAAATAAAACCGGATCTCAACATACCAAGTTGAATTCTAGGTTTGATTTTTAAATTGTTTTCTTTTGCACTTTTGAGTTCAACCTCAGAAGCAGGACACCTTCTAAATGACAGGCAGCGGCCAGTACTGTCCGGCAGCTTTGGTTTCCCTCACACTCTGCCAGGACTTCCCCGCGGACATTATGTATCAAGTGTAGAGTTGGTTGGGTTTTGTTTTTTTTTTTAAGCTTTTATTTTACTGTAGCAAAATAGGCCTGATTGTCTACAAGATAAATAGGTTGTCTACAGGATAAACAGTGTGAAATAAAACCAAGGGTTATCTTTCAGATCCTTTTACTTATCGCTTGGTGGGCCTTCTTAAATGTAATAAGATTCTTAAGGTGTGTGACAAGTTTGAGATTTGATAAGCACTATGCATAATAGTCATCCGTCTGTTGACTTGAATGGGTAAGTTGTCTGTGTCCTTGCTCAGAAGGTCTTCTTCATAAGACCATTCTGGAAACCACTGAGTTTGCTTATTGCTGTGATGTAAACATAGATCTCGATCCGAGCTACATGTCTTTTGTTTTAAAATAATTTCTCTGCTGGCTCATTTGAGCTCTTGAGTACTTACAGATAACTTTTGTTAAAGACCTAATTTTAATCTATAAATGTTTGGTGATTCAGGTTTTATTGGCAGATTTTTTAAAAAAAGATATCTTCATTCTCTAGAAATTGCTGACTTTAGGTCTATTTTACTGTGAATGAAGAATAGGAGTGAAGGGAAAGATTTTAAAAATTCAGATTATTTGATTAGGATCATTAGCATGCTATGCTATCATCCATCACCTCCTTTTCTCCTTTAGGGAAGGTTTTCATGTTTAGTCATCTGGGGAAAGTATGTGGAAAATATTTGCTAAGAAGTCTATCTTTGAAGCCAAGCCACCTGTCTTGGTTTCTTTCTGCTAAGAGCCATAATGTTACTACCAGTATGTAGGAGTTCTTCTAGTTATTAATTGCTTTATATTTGTACCTAGATTCAGTCACCTGCTTTTGAGAACACAACTAGTATGTTAATGATCAGTTATTTCTGAGAGCTTAGTTGTCAAACAGTATTTCCATTTCTTAGAGGTAGTCATCTTTGATGAGTAAGACTCAAGAATCACTAGGTTTAAAATTTTACAGCTACTTTAGGGTAGGATAGTTTCCTCAATTCTCAGAATCTGATTATTATAAGGATATGGTTCTGGGTAGGTTTTCTCTAGCTATTTTGTATCTCAATATGTTGAATTTCATTGAAAGCTGAGTGAGAGTTGAATCAAGTACCTTTATAATCCAGTATGAGGCCATTCCATTTTGGTCCAGTGCCTTTTAGTACGTTATCAAAGGGAATCCTTAATGGTGTTGCCTTTATTTTCCAGGGAGTAGATTGTTTTATGGGATATAAGCTGTCTCATTTTTTATAGTATGCTACCCCTGGTATACAAAGATAATGATAGTAAATCACTGCCATATAACCTTGTTTTTCTAGAAGCACGGCTCATTTGTGTCGACCTACTCACTATAAATAGGTCTCCTATCACGATTCCTCCTGTAACCATCGTAGATTTGCAGGCTGTGTGGTTAGCTTAAGGATTACCATACTCTAATTATCCAGGTAAACTGAAGACATATTAGCTGTGTTGTATTTCAAAGTTAAAAATTCATTTTTGTGGGGAAGGGCATGGTGTAAAGAGGGATATTTGTAATGGAAATTTTGAAGGCAAAATAAAATGCTCTTCCAGATGATAGATGTTTTACTTTAAAAGTAAATTATTGCAGTTATCTTTTTGACTCTGCCCATCTGGAGAGGGAAATTTTACATTTTCCCATGGTGCTCCTTATGCATCTGTGGAGGTGAAATATTTCTATTCCTGGTTTGATGGTAACTGGTTAATAGTTACTAGCTGTTATGCAAAATTAGATTAGTTCAGATCTTTTTTAGAGTTGTTTGGAAGAAGCAGTTTTATTCTGAGTAGGGCAGAATCCTTTTTGTTGATAGTTTTATATGGTTGGCTCCTTTCATTATTAAGTAATTTTACTGGCATTTTATTTAACGATAGCAGATTGGGCTGATGAATTTTAGTTACTGAGGTAACTGAGTACATGAAAGCAATTACCTACCAACTTCACCTACCAACTTTTCAGTAGATGGAGCTAAGACTAGCAGATAGTAACAACATGAGGAAATGCTTTCTTTTTTTATTTTTTTTTCCAGTTTTCAAAGCTTTTTATTATACTATTTCACTTGATCTTTACAGTAACTCTGAGAAGGAGTTAGAGGGAAGGAAATGCCTTTTTCTTTTTTTCTTTCTAAAGGCAGACCTCATCTTGTCACAGATAGCTATCTGTAAATAGTAGCCTAAATTCTTCTTTGGAAAGTTTATAGAAGATAGGCTCTGAGAATCTTTTGTGTAAACCTTTCCTTTTCTTTTCTTTCTTTTTTTTTTTCTGACAACTAGGTAATTTCTTCTAATATCTTTCAGGAAGGATGTATAAGGTTAGTGGTCACATTCATAGAAGCATCCTCAGCTTGGTCTTGTCCCTAGCACCTGTCCCAGTGCTACTGGGTTGTTTATCTTGTTTATCTGCTATTACTGTGGAATGGCATTTTCTGCATTATCCATACTTGCCTTATTTAAGCAGTAAACCTTTTTTATTTTAGCCATTTTGGGGGGGGTGGAGTTATTTAATATGTACATCAGAGAACATACTAGGCATGTTTCTTTTGTGCCTAGCTGTCTTTGTAGATGTCCAAGGCTGCTTAGGTTTTGCCTTGATAAACTAAATGGTCATAGACTGCTCTGGCTTTTGAATGTTCACTTTTTTTTTACACACATACCCTCCAGCATTCTCTTCCGACCACTTCATGTGTACCTCCCTTTAGGAGTTTCTTCTTTCCTTTTGGATTCATTTTTCCAGCTGCTTGGGCAAGAAAACGAAATAACTAGACCTACTAGAACCACCTTTAAAACACAAGGAAAACTGGCATGGGTCCTAAGAAACTTTCCTGTAAAGTACTTTGAAAAGGCCTTCTTCAGTGCTTCGGTGTCTCATCGGTTTGACTGCTTAGAATGTTTCCTTATTCTTCGCTGAGTTCCAGGTAGCTGTGGTAGGGAGAAGTGGGTCATATTCATATTTCCCCCCTTTGAAAGATTTTGAAAGGTTTTGTTGCTTCCACCTCAATCCTGCTCATACAAAAACTGGAGTCACAAGACTCTACATTAGCATCAGTAGTCAGAGCAAAAAAGGATACGAGCAAGAAATAAACTTGGGAAATGAGAGGGTTGTTTGTTTGTTTGGGTATCCCCTTTTGAGCCCTAACTTCTGGCTTTCCTCCTCTCCAGATATTTTTGACCTATAGGTGCCTTTATGAAAATTGAGGGTCTGATATCCTGTCCCAAGGAATAGCTAAAAGTAATTGCTGATGTTTTCAGGGATTTTAACATCAGACTTGAATGAATGAATGAATGAACCATACTCCTTCCTTCCTTGTTTCTTTCCTTCCTTCCTTCCTCTCTCCTTCTTCCCTCCCCCCACCCCCTTGTAGGAAGAACTGAGGTGAAGACAATCATTTCTCTCTATTGATATGGATAGTTTTCACAGTAGATCTCAGAGCCCATGTTCTTGTTCAAGCTAAAACTAGTGGCTCTGGGCTGGCACCAGGTACACTCTGGCTTGCACTCTGCCACTAATCTGATGTGTGACCTTGGGCAGGTCATTTTACCTTCTCTGGGCCTCAGTTGCCTCATCTGTAAAATGAGGGAGTTGGATTAGATGTGTTCTTCCAGCTCTGAAATTTAAGTGACCTTGCCTACCTTGCAGCAGGTTTTGATTTCTTCCTTCCTTTTGCTCTGCTGTTTGAGGGGGCTTTTTCCTTATTTCCACATTGTTCAAATGAGATTAGGCTTGATATTTTATTATTATTCTCCTATGGACAAGAAGTTACATAATATGTCCTTGAGACTTAAATTTAACCAAAGGCCTAGCACCACCTTGGGGGCTGCAATAAAAACTTACAAAAAAAAAAAAAAAAAAAAAAAGGAGGGGAAAAATCTTCATTTTATTTTCCCGTCATCTCTATTAAAGGTTTCTTAAGGCTTTTTTTGAGTCATGGCATTCCACCTTTTGGGTTGGTATGTGTGTGACACCATCCTTTTAAGTGCTGTGTGCTGGTAATTTTTTTTTTTTCCGACTAAAATGAATTGAAAACTTATTGTGAATGCCTAATGATATTAGAGGTCATTGGTTTCTTATCTCTGGTCTTTGGTTCCTTATCTCTTTTAAGTTCAAAACAGGGAAATCCCTCTGAACAGCATCAGTTAAGATGGTTCATGTGACAGAAGAAAATAATACCAGCGGATGATCCTTTACTTTATTCTTGGCTCTTTTTAGGTGCATTTTGTTTAGAAGACTTTTGGGTGGAGTGTTCCTTTCAGAGTATTTTTCACCTTATTCTTCGATAAGTATAATTAATGAACTTGGCTTTTCAAGGACCTTGAGAGCCTTCCTTGGGAGTGGGTCAAGGGTGGGGGGTTGGGGAGTCCTGGTAGAGGCCAGCTCTGTGCTAGCTGGAGAGGAAGGAATGAAACCAACTGCTGTTGCCATGGCTGCTTGTCATTCATAGAAGGACTCATGGGCTTGGATTGGTTAAAAGGCTAAACAGGTAGCCGAGAAACTTCCTCCAAGTATGGGGTTCTTCTGGCCAATGCCTTGGACATGTGACTTAAGGGAACAGCATGAATGCTTGTAGATGATGCAAACCTGGTGGGCTGCAGAACCATTTGGATGAAGTGACTGGGGGTTGGGGACTGATTTGGTGGTGGTATTTCCCAACTCCGTCTCCTCTCCTGAAATCAGAGTAATGCAGCTATGCCAAAACCCAGAGAAGAGCCACACTTAGCTTCTGCTTTTGGGAAAACTGGTCAGCTAAAGCTCCGGTAGTTCCTTTGTGGCTTTCTGTATACTTTTGTCTGGTTGAAGTCTGTGGCTAAAAAATAGTTGAACCTTTCTTGAGAACTCTGTAACAAAGTATGTTTTTGATTAAAAGAGAAAGCCAATTAAATCATTATGGGCTCATTCTTTTTCTTAAGCTTGTGGATGTCTTGAATCTGGAAAGAGTTTCTAATCACTTAGAGAATTCTCAAACTTGAGGACAATGGTTTCCTTCACTGCTTTGTGACCACTGAAATGGAAAATACAGCATTTCAGATATGACCATGGAAGAACAGTCCCCTTTCTTTACTCATTTCTAAAAGGACAGGGTGGAGAGATAGTAGTTGGAGAAGAGGTAGATGCTAAGGGATTATGAGGCCCAAGATGCTTAAGGAGAGACAGACATCAAAAATTGGAGACCCTGCCTTGCCCATCTAAGAATTAAGGAAAGCTATTAGCATACTAGCTCCCTGTTCTCTGAATTGGGAGTCAAGATAGGTGGGGATGAGGTCAGGTAAGGTGACTCTATGACAATGGCTTATAAATTGCATGATGAAATCAATATTTTTCTGATCTTGCTGACATGAGTTCTAGAGATGTTTATTAGTTTATTATTATGTTCTCACCTGACCTGAAGTTTTATAGTATTTTATTTTAGGTTAGAACTTGAAAGGGGTAGTAGCTTGGCGTTCTTTGGGGAAATAAAAACATTTCTTTATGAAGCACTTAAGAATAAAGGGCAGTTGTATGTATTCCTCTCTGCCCTTTGCTCTTGACTCCTAATTCTTTATGCTTTATTCCATGTCCTGCCTCCTCAAAGCTCTAAATCCCCTTCAAATCCTTTCTACCCCCATCATCTCACTGTGATAAATTGCAGTGCTCTGTCCCCTCACCCTTTTCTATGCTAAAAGAGTAATTATTTTCGGTTCTGGCCATACTTTGGGATGGTACCCACTTCTATATTTTGATGTAGCTCTGTTGAGCTACCACTTTGGTCTCAGACAGATGGACAGAATGGGTTCAGAAGACCAGAGAATTTATCTCCAGTAGAGGTACCCTAAAAGAATGGCTAAAGGAAGTTCTCTAAACAGAAAGGAAATGGCAAAAGAAGAGAAAATTGAAGAAAGAAAAAACATGGTAAGCATAAATACAAATGTAGGCTTTCCTTTACATCATGAGTTTTCTAAATTTATGTTTGATTGCTAAAGCCAAAATTATAACACTGCCGAGGGTAATTCTAAATGAATATAGAGGGGATATTTGAAACTACTGAAAAGCAATATAAAGAGAGACACTCAAATACTATAGATAAAAATGTAATTATTTAAAAAAAAAAAGCTCAAAGGGCGCCTGGGTGGCTCAGTGGGTTAATGCTCTGCCTTCGGCTCAGGTCATGATCTCAGAATCCTGGGATCGAGCCCCGCATTGGGCTCTCTGCTCAGCAGGGAGCCTGCTCCCCCCCCCTCCCCACTGCCTGCCTCTCTGCCTACTTGTGATCTCTCTCTGTGTATTAAATAAATAAAGTCTTTAAAAAAAAAAAAAGCTCAAGTAACTTACAATGAGGCAGGAAAGAAAACAAGCAGAAATAAAATGGCAGGCTTAAGCGTTAACATATCAATAATTACATTAAATGCAAATGGTCTAAATATACCAATTAAAAGACACTTACTGGCAAGGTGGATTAAGAAACATCCAACTATAACTGTCCGCTGGGAACACACCTCAATAATTTAGTAATATAGGCAAGCTGAAAGAAAAAGTAGGGAAGATACATACCAGGTAAAAATGAAAAGCAGTAGTGGCTATGTTAA